ATGATGCCCAGTGGGAGGATCTGGAAATAATCTCGATAAAGGTACTTAATGTTTTCATCCAAATGGCATTACAGAAATAAATAATATTTTGTTTAAAAGATGTTTTCATTGATTGATTATGATTTTTGCATGTTTTACTACATTTTGACATTTTGGAATGTAAAAGTACACACTTGCGCCTTCAATATTTCGAGTACTTTCAGGATTGCGGATTAAAATTTCAAAAGAGCCATTTAACACAATTAACACACATGTTGTCTTATTACTAAACATCATTTATCTGATTTAATTCAATGTATTAACAGTGAAAGAAATCCCAACTGATTTCACTTTAAACTCATGCAACAAGCACCAGACGATTTATCTAATACTCTAATTCGCATTAACAACAATGCAAAGAACATCTCAAAAGCTTAATTTCTGATATTTGAAGGTGTATTTTGATCTATGCCGACCACACAGCCACAACGACAATATGCATTACCTTCCATTTATTTTTATTACTTTGAAATACCGAGGATCAACTTCAGTGAATGAGCGGCTTAAGTTATCTGCCATATACAGTCCGTTTCTATTAATTCCTTGGTTTTGACTGTAAAATTTACCTTTCGAAAATTGAAAAAAAATCGAAAACTGAAACAAAGGTAATATTTTGATGTATCACTGCATAAGGTTTGTTTTTTGTATTACTTTGATATTGTTAAATCATACTGAATGCTTCACATTGAAAGTCCAAAATCTATCATAGCATAATAGAAAAACAAAGGATATGGGGTATCCATCCATGCCACAAAACCAGTATATGCACATTAAAGAACACACAAAAAGCAAAGGAACAGCGCTTGAATTGCTGTTCTTCATCTTAAAGTCACAGTGAGATATAGTTGGGTTTTTTTTCAGGAAAAAAAGAATGTTATATATACAAGTATAAATTGAAAACAACGTTCAAACCTATGATTGCGTTGGATAAAACCGCAATTTTTATACGTGTGCATGCAAAACAAATTTCTTGGTAGAGGGGTCTAAATACAACACAAAAAACATTTTCCAAAAGACCAAAAAAGTGAAAAAGTATATGTTAACAAAACGCATATGACTAACAGGTCAAACAACGGATGTCCTTAAACACTGCTGACTGCCATGGCGATTGCCAAATAAACGGATCACCAGATGTAACAAAATGGATCTTAATTATTTATTTAATACCAAACAGAAAACAATAAACTTGCGGAAAAGATGGGATACCGCAAACATGAGGTGCAAAAATTTGTACACCATATTATCCGGATTTCGACAATTAATGTCTCTTCAGTGATGATAGGAATCGAAACGGTATTATATATATATAAACAAGTCTAAATTGAAAACAACATTCAAACCTATGAATGCGTTGGATAAAAACCTCAATTTTTATACGTGTGCATGCAAAACAAATTTCTTGGTAGAGGGGTCTAAATACAGCACAAACAACATTTTCCAAAAGACCAAAAAAGTGAAAAAGTATATTTTAACAAAACGCATTTGACTAACAGGTCGAACAACTGATGTTCTTAAACCCTGCTGACTGCCATTGGCGATTGCCAAATAAACGTATCACAAGATGTAACAAAATGGATCTTAAAAATTATATATATATAATTATGATTATTTAGTATTTGACATTCCTGCAATATAATTTAGAACAAGCATTATTTATCTTTTTGATATAAAATTGAGAATGGAAATGGGGAATGTGTCAAAGAGACAACAACCCGACCATAGAACAGACAACAGCAGAAGGTCACCAACAGGTCTTCAATGCAGCGAGAAACTCACGCACCTGGAGGCGTCCTTCAGCTGGCCCCTAAACAAATATATATACTAGTTCAGTGATAATGAACGCCATACTAAACTCCAAATTGTACACAAGAAACTAAAATTAAAAATAATACAAGACTAACAAAGGCTAGAGGCTCCTGACTTGGGACAGGCGCAAAAATGCGGCGGGGTTAAACATGTTTATGAGATCTCAACCCTCCCCCTATACCTCTAGCCAATACACCAGTTGCAACAATACTGTTGTGCAATATTCCAGTTTTTGTAAACTATTTTTGCGGTCGATAGAACTATTAAGGGAGGTTAATGTTTTGGATTTATCATAGCAAACACAATTTTTTTTCCATTTCTACATGTATATATTGTTTTTGTAACATTGCTTTCCCCATACATTGAGTTGTGCTTCAATCTGTAGTTATAATTATACTCATCATAAATATTAGTGCAATCACAACGCACATGAACTAACACATTCTTCATGATATTGTCTATCATATAAACAGGATGAACGCAGATGAACCAATGAGATAGCAACTCAAAAACACAAACAAAAATCATCAATATTTTCCAAATAAAGACAGATGTACATATGATATATCGAGCTTTAAATCGCCCACAAGTAAGGAAAAGTAGTTTATATATGTCACAGAGATTCTCAAGGACCTGCTATAAACTTCAAATTCCCATAATTACCAAAACCACATTACGATATGAAATAAGACAACCACGCACGTGGCTTGTTTGTCTTGTTTATTTTATTTTAAAGAGACAAAACCCCTTCCGTTAATATCGATAGGCAGAATAACAAAAGGTACATAAAGAACATACAATAAAAATATGTTTAGGAAAAGCACTTTACTCTAACATAGCGGTAGAAAAGATAACAAATACAAAAACATATAATATACAATATTCTATCAAAGAATGCTCGGTGTTACTGAATGCAAATTTATAAGTATGAGTTTTAATCATTATTGAAGGTCGTACGGTGACCTATAGTTGTTAATTTCTGCGTCATTTTGTCTCTTGTGGAGAGTTGTCTCATTATCAATCATACCACACCTTTTTTATTTTTATATTTGTAGTACTCAAACTGCTAATATGAAATGACACTGTCCTTCACTGTAATATTGATATAGCAGTACTACACAGGTGGTTTAAAAAAGTTTGGTCTTAAACAGAAAAAGAATTCCAACAAACATATACCTAATGTAAATGCCAAAAAAACAAAGGAATATGTTGTCTTGCTCTAAAGTTTTTTGTAGCGATCCAGGAATACACATGTATAGATAGTACCGCTATTGAAACTAGCCTCCATACAATATTGTTAACTATAAAAAATAAGAAAATGTGGTATGATTGCAAATGAGACAACTCTCCACAAAAGACCAAATGACACAGAAATTAACAGCTATAGGTCGCCATACGGCCTTCAACAATGAGCAAAGCCCACACCGCATAGTCTGCTATAAAAGGCCCCGAAATGACAAATGTAAAAGAATTCAGACGTGAAAACTAACGGCCTAATTTATGTACAAAATAATGAACAAAAAACAAATATGTTACATAGCAACAAACGACAACCACTGCATTACAGGCTCCTGACTTGGGACAGGCACATACAGAATGTGGCGGGGTTGAACTCACTTGAAGGCGCCAAACCTCCCCCTAACCTGGGACAGTGGTGTAACAGTACAACATAAGAATAAACTATAAAAATCAGTTGAAAAAGGCTGAACTCATTAGATGGATACAAATAGAAATACATCTAACAAAAACTGAGTGGACGTGGACGGGTATTTATACATCCCCACAACAAAATGACACTACAAAAAGAAATGATACACTAGAGCTTGAACAAAATGTATAAATTTGAAATCAATAACCAATAAACTGATCGAACAATTTTCAACTATATCAACTTTTTAATTTGTAATTTATGTATTTATGCATGGCAAATTATCTGATGACATTTATCGGATCGACTTTACCCTGATCGTGTTAACAAATATGGCAATGCAGATGAAAAAAAATTCTTCGATGCACTCTAAAGATGTGAATCAGGTCTTATGATTAAATTAATATTTACAATACAAATGTTTTGAAATTTGAAATGTTTGTGAGGGACTATGTATCAGAGATATAGAGTTGCAATTTGATATAGTTTATATTCGTCCTTTAAGATAATATTCCTGGAAGGCAACCAAATATTTGGTTTTGTAGAGTAACAAGTGTAGGCTACACCGACATTATTTTAAACACAATATTATGAAATTTTGAACACATGTCAAATTGGAATTTAACTGTTTTTATTTAATTTATTCGATTGGCTTTTGAATCAAGTCATCTGTACGTCAAATTCATCTTGGTCCATTTACACATTACCTTTTGATTAACTTCTTTTTCCCTATTTTATATAAATCAATACACAATGACTCAATGTCAATTTCCTATTTCTTTATTCTTTTATAGGACCTTTGGTCATTTTTTGAAACTCATCCAATATGACCTGTGTTCATTTGAATTTATATATAATGAATATTTAAGTTTGTGCTTTATTCAAATTATTCATTTTCATCCCCTCCCATTTACACTGATTCAAATAATATAGATCATGTTATGTTTATATTCTACTTCGAGGGTAGTAATTATCATAATCGTCATTTTTTCCAAACGCTGCAATCCATTCTATGGCTGACGATCCATTGCCTTAACTCATTAGATGGATACAAATAGAAATACATCTAACAAAACACAGAGTGGACGTGGACGGGTACTTATACATCCCCACAACAAAATGACACTACAAAAGAAATGATACACTAGAGATTGAACAAAATGTATAAATTTGAAATCAATAATCAATAAACTGATCGAACAATTTTCAACTATATCAACTTTGTAATTTGTGACTTATGTATTTATGCATGGCAAATTATCTGATGACATTTATTGGATCGACTTTACCCTGATCGTGTTAACAAATATGGCAATGCAGATGAAAAAAAATTCTTCGATGCACTCGTATATCAAATAAGAAAAATAATTAAAATATGAAGAATCTATATTGTAAACAAAACTTCATAATAAAACAAATTAAAATGAAAGACCTCATCTCATAAAAGTCTAAATGCTATATTTAGAATTTATTGGTTTTTCCACTTTGGTAAACTAGATAAAGTATTCAGAAATGAATATAACTATTAATAACAAGAAATTTTGAAAAGTTATTCAGTTGTTTTGTTTCGCTGGGATATAAGAGAAATACCTATTTCAGGTTAGTCCTTCATCACATTTATTTTATTTTCTACAATTTTGAAGCTTATATGAGCTGGGATATATTTTTATTGCTACTTATTGGCATGACATTTTCTGTGACTTGTTAAAGGCGAAAAAAAATGTTACCAAAACGTTCTAGCTTTCCATATGTAAGGGGTTTGGATCGAATAAGGGGACCAGTGAAGCAGATACAATAGGAAAATTTAAAACAACTAAAAAACTTAAATCCTAATAGTAGTAAATACATGCCGAACAATATGAGTTTGGAAGTCGCAAACTCAACATTGTTCTTACCCAACTTCGATGTTCTCCTTTCTTCTTAAATTATGATCTGTCTAGAGTTAATATTATTTGTGATCCATCTTGCCACTGCAGTGTGTATTGCGAAGATTCGCATCATTTCTTTCTTGGATGTATATTATATTCAGAAAAACAAAGTAAGCTTTTAGAAAATCTTAGCTGACTCTTAAATAAGACTGTCCATTAAATATAGAACTATTAACCTCGGGTAGTATTCTACTTACTCAGGAGCAAAATGAAAATATATTTAAACATGTGTTTGAGTTTACATTTGTATTAGAGGGTCGAATAGATTAGATTGTTTAGATAGTAAAACATGACCTCACACATCATCATCTAAGTTCAGTTGTTTTTTTTATTTGTTTTTTTTTTTTTGGGGGGGGGGGGGGGGGGGGAGTATTTTTTTTTTTCATCTAAAGATGTGAATCATGTCTTATGATTAAATTAATATTTACAATACAAATGTTTTGAAATTTGAAATGTTTGTGAGGGACTATGTATCAGAGATATAGAGTTGCAATTTGATATAGTTTATATTCGTCCTTTAAGAGAATATTCCTGGAAGGCAACCAAATATTTGGTTTTGTAGAGTAACAAGTGTAGGCTATACCGACATTATTTTAAACACAATATTATGAAATTTTGAACACATGTCAAATTGGAATTTAAGTGTTTTTCTTTAATTTATTAGAATGGCTTTTGAATCAAGTCATCTGTAGGTCAAAGTCATCTTGGTCCATTTACACATTATCTTTTGATTAACTTCTTTTTTCCCTATTTTATATAAATCAATACACAATGACTCAATGTCAATTTCCTTTTTCTTTATTCTTTTATAGGACCTTTGGTCATTTTTTGAAACTCATCCAATATGACCTATGTTCATTTGAATTTGTACAAGAAATCAACATAATATAATGAATATTTAAGTTAGTGCTCTATTCAAATTATTCATTTTCATCCCCCTCCCATTTACACTGATTCAAATAATATAGATCATGTTATGTTAATATTCTACTTCGAGGGTAGTAATTATCATAATCGTCATTTTTTCCAAACGCTGCAAACCATTCTATGGCTGACGATCCATTGAATTTTGGCGGTTATAAAGCGAAAGTTGTATTGTGAAAATGACTTAACGGTCAAGGATTCTTGAGAAAGGACTTTCTTTGCTTAGTGTACTCTTGATTGGGTTATTTTCTTAAGTTAAGAGCAGCCAGTTCATCCAAATACCCAATCATCTATGTTTTTTTGTAATTGTTCGATTGCCTGCAGCTTATTCTTTCTTACAAACCTGCTCGTGCATTTTATATTGTTGTTCAACGCAAAATAATTATTTAAGAGACCTGGGACGATCTCATTTCACAAAGGATTTCTATTGTCTACAGTGACTTATTGTACCTCGAACTTATTTACCCGGTGTAGGTCTTTAAGTTGAGGTTCAATTTACTAAAAGTTAATCGGGCATGACTAATTAGATACATGTACGCCCTCTAAAATCAGGGGGTCCGAAATAGGATCGGGAAAACACCCAGCAAAATACCATAATTTACAATTTTAGAATTTTTTTGATTCAACGTGCTTTTGGTTGCTTTAATATCTCCGGTCAATAATCAAACGGTATTTTAGTGGAAATACTAACCTGTCTTGAACCGGGAGATGTTGGCTGCAATATAAGGAATATATTTACAAAAAAAATTCATACATGTACAGTCCGTGTAACGTAAAAGTTAACAATACGAACGATGCCCGAATCATGTACGGACGATGCCCGAACGATGTACGTACGCTTCCCGAACGGTGTACGAATGCAAACGAAACGCTGACCGAACGTTGTACGGACGCTGAACGAATGATGTACGAACGAAACCATGTACCATAAACCATACCATAAACGATAAAATAAGCACCCTTTTATCGTACATCGTATGTTTTTGCGTACATCGTATGTTTTTGCGTACATCGTTTCATTAAGCGTATACCGTTTCGTTTAGCGTGCATCGTTTCGTTAAGCGTATATCGTATCGTATAGCGTACATCGTTTCTTGGCGTGCATAGTTTCGTTTAGCGTATATGTTTGGTTTTTTTTTAAATATAAATATGAATGGAGTTCTGTTAAAACTTTTTATATAGGTGATAATAGGCGTAAAATTTAGATTGGATGCATGTTTCAGTTTTTAATTAATATAATTTAATAAATTATAATTTGATCAGACTCGATGTTGATCCAAACCTATTTACATAAAAAGTTTTAAAAATAAACACTGAATTAAATTTAAACGAATTAAAAGATACGATTATGAATTTTGTTAGCCGTAGAAATACGTACTTGGTGAATGTGTGAGTAAACTGCAGTCTGCAGGGTATTCAGTCAACATTTTTTGAAAATAGCCTAAGGTATTAACATTTTTATTAACCTAAATGAACATTTTTTTTTAGATGGAATTCGGAATTAATCTAATGTTCTTACAAAAGCATATTCGGGGTCTTAAGGTTGACCTTTTGTCCAAAGGTTTGTTAAATATTTTTATGTATTCTCTTTTATCGCATGTATTTTAAAATCGACTGAAATAGCAGGGTCGAGTTCAATATCGTAGCGGCTACATAGCTGCTATCAATATCTATGTAGCAGCTAGGCTAAAACGCCTCTAAATACACGTTCAATAGTCATAAATCTACGTAGCACTACGTAGCCGCTACGATATTGAACGCTACCCAGTTTTATCTATATATCGTAATTAAACCATTTTTTTTTAGATTATAGATTTTTTTATTCATTTATCAAATCAGTCGAAAAAAAACAAATATTCGAGAAATTTCAAATAAGAACAATTACTCGCTATGTGCCTCATCAACCCTAAACAAAAAATCCCTACCAATGTACATACGATTATGTATTATTTTGACTATAAATGCACTTGACTTTAAACAATCATCAACAATTGTCCGGCAAAAAAACTAGACCCTCTATTCTTTAATTTTCTTATACCATTTTCCTCTCTCCTTTATTTTTCCCGTTATACTCTAATTTTTTTTTTTTCTTTATTCTCCTACAACTATCTATTATACCTACTTTATTCGGAGCAACCCCACCCTAAATATACATATGATACATGTACACACGGTCTATAGTTCGTCGCTTGTGCCGTGATACACATGTTTGTATAACAGAGGATGTCCTTGTTCATATTTATAACATTTTAAATGTCCTTCTAATAATACATCTAACAGTTGCCACTGGACATTAAACAGATAACTATAAATTCATCCGTCATATTCTCAGTTTTGTTATAATGTGTAAATCAAACAACATGATAAAACAATAATTATTGCAGATTTTCACTGCAGAAATAATGGGGAAAATTGTAAACAAAACCAGCCAATCACATCTCTACGCCACAAAGTCTAGCCTTTTCACAATAAATTATTTTCATAAATCTATTTCAAAATAATTTTAAACAATATTAAATCAAACGGTCATTTTTCTTATTTGCCAAAAAAAAAAAAAAAAATAACACAAAACAGTTATTTTCATTTCTCATTTTAAACAGATCGATTGTTTTCAATGGTCGGTGCCTGACAACATCTATAAAATCTATCACCATGTTGGCCAGTAAGAAAGCTACATAGAACAGGAAAACAACAATGTCCTAGAAATATTTCCAGGCCATATTTTCCAATTTCTGTTGTAATGTGGTTTAATGCAAAAAGGTTAACTCCTGAATACTGATTTGTATCCATCAAGCATTTGGGGTTAATAACAAATCTATGGTAGTCACTTTTTCTTTACTCGCAAAGTATTCGACTAAATCATGTTTTATTTATGAAAATTAATCATTGCTGACGAATGTTAAATATTGATCCCCAGATTTTCAATTGTTTAGTTGTTAGGTTACTGTCTGATCTCGCAAACCTGACATTTTATGGTCATTATTTTTTGCATCCAATTGCACCAATTTATTAAAAGGATATTAACGCGACACCGTACGTGAGTCGTGACTTTACATAAACTACTAGTATTTTTTTTCTATAACGAAATACGAAACCACTTTTCGCAATTCGCTTTGGGGTAATTGTGCTTCTCTTTTGACAAAATATGGCCTTGTCTCAAAAACAAAAAGTATGATATAATATAGAGTAATATATAAAACTGGACCTGAGTGAAGAGTTGGGAATTAGGAATTCCGAATTTTAATTGAATGTTCTAAATCGTTGTGTATTTCTGATATATGATTGTACAGACTCAAAAATTTCTTTGTTTTGATGAAATGAAAGGTCACCGTCACCGGCCAATAGAAGCAAAATGGATATAGTGGATCTTTCTAATTTTGAAAACAATATTTCCCTTGCTTTGTTGATAAAAGGGCTCTTAACAAATAGTGAATACTATCCTCAATAGGATGGCCACAGCTGCATGCGGAATTGGGTTTAATATTAATAAGGTTTAAATCTGCTTTTGAAGAACTGCACAATATTCCTCAACTGTGTATCGCCAATAGAAGCAAAATGGATATAGTGGATCTTTCTAATTTTGACAACAATATTTCTCTTGCTTTGTTGATAAAAGGGCTCTTAACAAATAGTGAATACTATCCTCAATAGGATGGCCACAGCTGCATGCGGAATTGGGTTTAATATTAATAAGGTTTAAATCTGCTTTTGAAGAACTGCACAATATTCCTCAACTGTGTATCAATG